GATCATTAGTTGATCAAAAGTCAAAATTTTGACCAAATGTTGACTAATTTTAAAATGGTAAAAATGAATTTTATATTTTACATATAAAATAACTAAAACAAAAGAATTAAGTCAAAAAGAAGAAGAAGAAAACTGTCTTCATCATCTTCCTACATCCCCACACCCTACCCACCCCAAAACCAAAAATCAAAAACCACCAAAACCCCAATGCCGCCATTATCCTCTTCGCCTCCACCGTCTACCTCTTGCCAAAACCCCAAATTTACCACTTCGAACACAACCACCCAATTTCTGTCGGCGTCAACACGAACTCCATAATTTCTGTCGTTCTTAAACTCTTCCATTTTCTTCCTAGTAAGTTTCCTTGGTGGTGGTGGCGGTGGCTGTGGAGGCGAAGGACGGGATGGGGTTTGCCCTCTTCTAACACCCAAAAACTTAAAACTTTGACGTGAGGAATTACGGGCCCCATCCTCAGTCGATATAGGCGAAAATGGAGTATATGCCCTCGACTCCCAACGTAGAGGCGGTGTAACACTCGAGAATTTTTTTAAGATAAAAATTTTATTGTTTTATGTGGTAGCTTGAAGTTGAGGGACTAAAATGAAATAGAATTTCTTTTCTTATTTTATTCGAGCCAAATAATTAGTTTTTGAAATAGGGCATAGATTAATATATTAATATTGGACTCTTGTAGTAGGTTTTAATTAATTAGAAGTCTTTGACTTGAGAAAATGTGGATTTGGATAGGTTGAGTTAGTTCAAAGAAGTTATCATTAATTGGTAATTAATTAAGTTGGTTCATGATTTAGTGGCAGCCTACTACAGGATAAGTTGTAATCATAGTTTGATAAATATCTAATCATTAATTGTAATCCTACATTGATTTGGATAAAGTTTAATGGTAATCCTAATTTGCTTAAAACTACTTTTCATTCTTCCAATTCTTTTATTCATTTTCCAATTCAATGAAATCTATTAACATATTGGTCCACGCGTGTCCTATGTAGCCTGTAACTCCAATTGATAATCATTTAATAGTTAAACTTTACCTACTGAAACATATTGAGTCCAATTTTAATGGAACACGGCTCTTCTATTTCAATTGTTTCAAAACTCAATTATTTTCAACTTTAAATACCATGCAAGAGGTCCATCATTCACCACAAAAATAAATAGTACCCACAAAGTGAACGCGATGGCAGAGAGATATAGGAAAAAGATTTGGAACGTGAATTCATATTTCTTTCAAAGAAAATTCATTTTATTTATCGTGGTAAGATATTTTTGTGCAAATCGATGTTTCCGTATGCTTTTATGTTCAATGATTTATGCATTAATTGCTAGTGGACCTTCAGGTTCGACCTAACGAAATGTGAAATCCTTCGGGATTTCAAAATAAGAAATGATGGGTATCTCGCTTGATCAACGATATACTCCACAAAAAGAAATATGGTATGAAATGTCTATGTTATTGTTATATAAATGCGTATGGAAACTGCACGTATCTTATTGGGTATTTTTTTAAAATATTCACACTTACTATAATTTTTCAGATTAGTTCAGATCGATTGGAACTGTGACGAAATGGTGCAGCAGAATGCCCAGAGATTTCAACATACGAAAAACACTAAGTATTACTAACTTTAGATTTATTAGCTTGAATTGTTCAAGTATTACTATTGAATTAGTTAATTAGAGCATGTTTGGGAGTGATTAAAATCCAATTAAAATTGAAAATATAGTCGTTATTGGGCCCCACTCGTCTAATAAAAGTCAACAATAACGGTTAATTTTTCAATTTTAATCCCATTATAATTTCTACCGAACACGCTCTTAAGAATGTATATATATATTTTTAAAAAGATACACGATTTCATGATTTAATTTTAAGTTTATGAATGTTCCAATATCTTGTTTATTAAAGAATTCTATATTTTATCATTCCACAAAGAAATTGCATTTTTTTGTAACACCCCGTGAAATTTTGGGGCGTTACAGGCGGTGGGATATAACGCGGTAAAGGAGCCGGAAAATTCAGTAAGCTATCAGGTGATTTTGATGCTGAGCTCTTGGGGCTACTGGAATTCACCACCACTGATGGGCTATTATCAGATGTGGCTTTCTTTCCCCGAGTCAAAATGCTTGCTAGATAAAATATCAATCTACACATTTCACCCTTACCAAACGATTATTTGTTCAAAAAGCAACATAGATTGCCATCTTCATATTATATGAATTGAAAAGTCCCAGAATACAATGTTCTTTTAAGCTAATGGCAGAATAATGAGTAAGCTTGTACAAATTACATATGCAAATCCATTTATAGGTAGGATCAGCCTCATTTTTGTCATGTACTCTTGGAAGATCGAAGGGATAGATACAGGTTGTTTCGGCAAACTAGCGACGATGCAAGACTAGTCGAGAAGCTTGTTACAAGTGCCAACTCCAACAGCAGCAGCAAGATGCCAACCAGCATGTAGAAATGGAGTTTCAGGAAATAAGTCCTCGGCAATGAAAAGTGCACCCCCTAACAATGAAGACATCTTATGCACGTTATAGGCCATTCTGAGGTCTGGATCTTGAAATGCTCTCTTCGCAAATGCAACCTGGATGACAAATCGGAAATATTTTTTGTCAAACAAATTTGTTTTGAATCCATCGTAATACTTCTAGCTGCATTTTTACTGCTGTCAGTAAATTTAGTTTTGTTTTCTAAAATGACAGCGAAGGAATTCCAATTTACTTTAAAAGATAGAAAGTTTCGAAAAAAATCTGTCGTTAATAATTATTATATTTTCTAAGAAAATTAACAAAACACTCTGTCAAATAATCTGTCGCTATCAGCAACATAGTTTTTCCAGTGGGAACGTGAGTGCAGTGGACACAAAACTAGAATTTGTACTTTCATAATATATTTGAAATCATTATCAAATGTAAGTCTACAACTAAACCAAACGAGATGAAAGATTGATTTTCAATTGATTAATTATATTAATATTTAAACTGCATAAGCGTACCTCCATAATCCCCGTGTGAACTGCTGACACCATCAGAGGCTGAATTGGTAGAAAGAAAGCTGAAGCTGCCGTCAGTAACTTCGGGTTCTCATTCCTAAGTGCCCTAGACAGACACTGCAAGAAGAATTAAGCTCTGGTTTCTATGTAAGTGAACCAAAAAAGCAAACAAATATAAAACTACAAGTTTTACAGATAGATTTTAAACATTCTTGACAATAAATGGGTAAATCAAAATAAGAAATTCATTGGGTTGCCCTTTGTGGGTCAAGTTTACCTTTACCCTATTCTAGATTATAAACAGATTATTACATTGCTATAAAAATAACCTTCTTATTCTTTCAAAGAATTCAGTCGATTTCTTACGGTCTATTTGGTAGGATGGGCTATACACGATTGAACAGTATTAATGAAAAAAAAGAAGGATTTTGCTAGAGTGGGCGTCTGGGCGCCACTTGCGCCCCCTGGACGGCCAGGAATGGCCCTGGCTGTTTGGCAAAATCCAAGAAAGAAACTTAAATCTTGTTCTTTATATCGTCTTGTCCATTCTTGTCTAATTATGCTAACGAAACATGCACTTAGTGTTTGGCACACCATTGGCAGGCTAAATGCATAATTTAAGAATATTTTCTAATCCTGCATGTATCATGAAGCGATTTTTTCCCCCAACATTAAAGCCAATTAGAATGATTCAATTATTTATACTCACCACAGTTGCTGTGGCTATCATTGTGTAGTCGGCCCATCTGAGATACTTCCTCAATTTTCCTCTTGAGGCATGGTACACACTCGAAGCAATTCCTACTCCAATTAATGAATTGGCATAGAGTTTACAATTCAAATTCTTCCTGCAGTATAAGCAAAGCAAGATATATAAGTTGATATGCATATATAGCTCCTCTAGTCCTTATGAAAAAACTAAGTTCGTGTTGGTATAAAAAAAAGATAGAACTCGACAGTTTTAATGAACTTTTATTTGGTTTACAAATACTGTGGAGACCTATTCAATCCTCCCTTCCAAACATGTCATAAGGAAAAAACTAACCTTGGGGCCTGGATCCCAAGGGCAATGAAAGGAAGCGAAGTAAGCACATTAACGACTGTTTCTGCAAGATGTTTATCGCCTAACAAAAAATGTTATTATGTTAGCATAAGAATTGAAAATAGAGGCATCAAGAAGATACTTCATCTACACCAACAGATAAATTTGTCTTCACAATACCATTCACACAACCATGGACTGGCCTCAGACAAGCAGGTCTTTGCTGCCATACTTTCCTGATTAATAAGATATTTTAGTTAAAAATATATTTTTCCCATAAAATAAACATAATCTTTTAAATTGTACAATCATATGTCAAGTAGAATGAAATCTCAAAACTCTTCACTCACTGTATTCTTAGCCTTTGGTTATAGCTAAAGTCAGATCTTCCATAAGTAGATTGATGAGAGTCCCCATGCAGTTTTATCTCTTCATATGCAAATGGTGAGTGAGGCACCAAATGCAGTCCATGCACTCCGTTTAAGGCAGTACTAGGTTTCAATGCAGTCTCGGGACTCATATGCTACTTGGCAACCAGTCGATTGAACCGACTGATTGCCTGGAATAACATACAGGTCTCGATAAAGAGAAGTGTGGATGCACCAATTCTTGAACCACTGTATCATAACTAAGAACTTCAATGAGACATCAAAAGAATTGTGTTCGCACACGTCTAGTGTTCAAGCCCAAAAAATTAATATAGAAAGGTTGAACATACTAAACTCGGAATCATTTGCAAAATGCTTCAAATTTTATGTAGTATGTAGCTTAATTCTACCAATATTGCTAGACATAATTCATACCTAAGTCACATAATATTTTGCTCATATGACACTCTCCTTTTGATCTTGCTCTAAAACATTCTTAACTAGGAGTTTATGGAAGTCTCGAGTTTCAAATAAACCTTGCTTTCAGTAATCTGACTCTAAGTCCATTCTCTAATGCCCCTTGTTGGTTCATCGGACAGGTCAATACACTTCAGATATTCAGGAACAATACAAATACTTTCTCTTCCGATATTATTTCCACAAGTTCAACTTTTCTCTTAGTTTCCATGACAAAAACAACATAGGTGAGCAGTGAGCAGAATTGCCCATCCCAAATTGGGTGAACAATCTAAAATGTTGATTGTTTCTCTTTAACCTTTTCATTTCAAGGGAAGTGAGGGCCAGATGTGATTTGTTCAATATCTTTCTATATTTAAACGGTATTTGCCATGTATAACTCACATAGTATTAAACCAACTCATCTACAAGCTTAAAGGAAGATCGCACTTTTGTTTATTAAAATTTAGTCACACAAAACTTAACAGAAATCATCACAACAATCACTCAATCCAACCATAAATGAAACCCATTATAGTATTCCATGTCCGAACCAAAATTCATGTATTGACGAGTAAAATACAACAGAACAATTAATCCAGGCACAGAAGGGTTTCTAATCAGACGCCCAGAAATAATTAAATAAACCTAAAAATCAAGAAAAAGGAAAAGCAATCAAGAAAATTGACATATAGGGTTCCATTGGAATTATTCTAGATAGAGATAAGAAGATGGTTACCTAAGAAATGGGAATTCGTGGCAGAGAGAAAGTGATGAACAGGATATTTTTTCAGGTGGTTAAAATTGGTTTAGAGACTAGGGGAGATTAGAGGCTGGGATTTATAGAAGATGACAGATGCGAATTATAAAGACGAATCTTTGTTACAAAATGATAGTGTTTGCGGCATAATCGCATGTTACTTGCTAAAAGTTCCCCAATCTTACTTGGGATTTTGCCCCTCTCAATTTTGTAAAATGTTAAAAATAAATTATCTTCTCGTTCTACAAAACTTCCGATTTTATTCTGTTTCTTGTAAAATAGCTTTTCGAAGAAACTATCTTAATTCATCTTGTCTAGAAATTCTTCTAATCCAATAAAGCACTTTTAAAAAATTATTCAAAATAAATTCAAAAGCAAATTTTTAATTTCAGAATCAACTTTTGATTTTTAAGAAAGGATAGCTTACAAAAAAATCTTTAAAATTAGGGATCTTTTGAAAAATTATATGAAAAGTATTTTGAAAGTAAAAATACTGTGTAAAATTAATTATCACTTTTTTAATAAGAAAAAGTCATAAAAAAATGACACGATGTCACTTTTTTATTAAAAAATGACGTACAATGTTACTTTTATTACAAATTGATGTTTGTCATTCAAAAAATTGATAGAAATTTTAAGAAAGTAACAAGAAAAAAAGTGAAAATAATTCAAAAAAAAATGACAGAAATTCAAAAAAAAAAAGTAACAAAAATTTAAAAAAAATGACAAATACTCAAAAAAGACACAAAAAAAGAAGTGACACTCAAAAAGCCGCTCTTAAACATTCAATTGGGTGATTGTCCAGTAATACACTGGGTGACATCTCAATGTAAACCAGTGACATTGTGTCACATTGTTAAAAAAAAAATGACATTGTGTCATTTTTCGTTAAAAAATAACATTATGTCACATTTTGTTTAAAAAAATGAAATTTAAAAAATTAGGTGGTTGATAGTTTAGACAATCGCCCAACTTTATCTTTCGAATGATTGCTCAAGCAACTTAATGGCAACACCTTAAACATTCAATTGGGCGATCACCTTGTAATGCACTAGGTAATCGCCCCGTGTAAAACCAGTGATATTGTGTTACTTTGTTAAAAAACAAAAGTGACATTGTGTCATTTTTTTAACAAAAAGTGACATTCTTCATTAATAAGGTGACATATGAACGTTTAATATTATTACCGTGTATCAGTTCAATGAAAGGTAAACATTGTAATGTTGAAAAAGTGACATAAACATTGTAACATACAAGAACTTAATGTATTCATTATGCCAACAATAATGTCAATTTTTAAGGCATTGTATCGTTAAAAAAGAGACGTACGAACGGCTAGCATGTTAGAAGCGACTAGCATGCCAGTCACTTTGATAATGAATCCTTAGTTAGAAGCATTATTATATAGTAACTCGATCAAGATTTTTTTCGAAATCTTCTGCTCCTATATCAACTTTTCCAAATTTAAGGGTTTGTTCTCTTTACCATTTTCAAGCCCTTTTTTGTTTTCAATTTTTTAAAACGGTGAAAACGCGTTCTCTTTCCTATTTTCGAAAACGCATCTTTGAAAACAAGTTAAAAATTTACAAAGAAAACTCAAAATGACAAATTTGTCGTTTTTTATGTTTTCAGTTATAATCAAGTCAAAATTTTCAAAACGCGTTTTAGGTGTTTTCAAAATGTCAAAAAGAATACATTTTCAATAATCTCAAAATGAACACTCAAAACACAAAATCTAAAATGAATTCAAAACTCAAAATACAAAACTGAATTACAGAAAGAACAACCCCTAAATGTTTCTCAAACTATCTTCATTGTTATTGTTATACTTCTGCCCTTTCATAGTCTATTAGGCAAATAAAGTTAAAGGAAAGGTTTTACAACAGATTTTTTGAAAAGAGTAGTAAATCACTAAAGTTATTTAATATGAAAGCAACCACTAAAATACTGTTGAAACAAGTGAACAAAAAAGAACCTTATTCAATAAATTTCTGAAAGAAAAGGTTACTTGAGAGTAATTTTTAAGTTTAGCTAAATCATGCTTCAAATGTCAATAGCTTTGAACATGTACAAATAATATAAATCTTAACCTTGGCAACTAGATGCATTACTATAATAAATGAATTTCAGTGTAAAGCTATAGATTCCACTCCATGCAACAAGAACCCCAAGAAAAAACATCTCGAGGCAAGAATGATCCAGGCACATGATTACAAGCTATAGTTGTGGTAATACGAATGACATCTACCATATTAAGCATCAACAAAAAAAATCCATTGTGAGAACTAAACACTTCTACCAAATTTATATTCAAAGATCAATTGAAGCCACGGTGACCTTGGCAACCTTCTTAGCAGCAGCTTTGGTGACGTTGGCACCAGATGGATCGTCATTGGCCACGTTCTTGATGACACCGACAGCAACTGTCTAGCTATTTCCTTCTATTGTCATAGCAGTATCGCCAGCATTTGCAAACCTATTTACCCAACCTATTATGGGAAGTATCAAGTACATGGTCTTTTAAGAAAAAAAAAAGAATATAGAAAAAGAAAGAACAACCTTCAGTAGGCAATAAGACAACAAAACAACATCCAATTCATGATCATTCAAATTGGTAAAATAAAACACAATGTATGCATGTATAAACTCTAATGTGCAAGCAATTTCTTCCACATATGCATCAACTTGTCACTTTACAAGCATACACCACAAACCAATTTGTAATGCTACACAGAGTGATAGTTTTATCAAGACATTTATATTTTGTGAAGAAAGATAAATCAATAAATACCAACAAATAGGGAATCAGGAAAACCCCAACCACCATGCTTAGTCTTGCCTATGGACACCGACGACAAATTAGAAGAAAAAGGTTGAACTCCAGGTGCTTAACAACATGCATTGTCACTTTTCTAAAGTCCAAGTTAAACTTCTTCATAGCACTTCCAAAACATCTTACTTTCTTCATGAACCTCAACAGATTTATCAGTGAAAATAAATATAAAAAAGTGACATAAATTTAAAAAAAAATGCCTTAGTATACTGATTTGTGTGAGAAACAAAAGATTTTTGAGTTTATTCCCTTTCTAGTGAGATACTTATTTAAAGACTTCTTTCATTTAAAACCCTCTCATGCCAATTTAAAAAAAGTGAACTAAACTTTAAAAAGTGTCAGAAGCATAAAAAAGATATACAAGTTCAGAAAAGTGAGAAACGCTCTTAAAATATTGTTAAGTGTTATGAAAAGAGAGAATAAGAGAAATCAATAGACTTCTGTATTATAATGAGAACCAAAACCCTATATTTATAGGGAAGGAATATGGATACATATGGTAATTATATCTAGGGATGCAGGGGTACAAGTGTCATTCACA